TGATTTTGACTTTGAATGTAGGATCTATCTATGTGCGTGCATGCAATAAAAGCGGTGATAAATGAATGACAATGAAACGAACATACTTTTCTTACCATATAGCTGTATCTGTTTCGACGGCGCGCCAGGCTCATGATGCAGACGCCGGTTAGCACCAACTGGAAAGATGATTATTAGACTTAATATAGGTTTTGTGTGATAACCCTAGAATGGGCGCGCTATGACCATTTTGCCGCCCGTGCTAAAAATACTTCGATAACTTTTTAAACAATACGGTAGTTGCCAACTAGTCAAATTAAATACTTTTATCGAAACGTCAAAAACGATACTGTTCTATGAATTTTATAAGAAATCCCTACTTATGACGTCATCATATTTTCGCCTCAAATAGCACACTAATATCTAAAAAAAAAATGCGAGAATAAATTGAAAATTAAATATATCAACAAACCAATAAATGAAAGTGTAACTATTTTTCAATATTTAATTGGACTGAAAAATCTAATTAATTTATTTTTGACCCAAGAAACTACCCAATTGCCAGATAGTCTTGCACTTTTTAGTAGTTGCCTCTAGCCTAGCAATGCCGAAAAAATTTTTTCGTTTAAGTGCGCTAGGGTCCCGTGGAGAAGAAAGTTACCACCAGGTTTTGCCAAGCGACAATATGCTTGCTCAGTGACGTTTCGCAAAAAGACGCGCACAATCTAGGGTTCATATAGAAAGCAAAATGTACAGAATAGGGTAGATGCCTAATTTTAATGTCCGTCTAGTAGATTATTTTAAATCATTAGACACGTATTTTTTATTTTCTTACAGAAACGAATACTTTCGACGATATATTGATTTGAAATGTCGCGTAACGTCACTTCTATGTACATTTTATACGTTGAAATGACGATTTAGCCCCCACTCCTAAACTTTGATTAGTTTTATCTAAGTATTGTTTTACAATACGATTAAATGAAAAAATACGTGTCTAATTAGATTTTTAATTTTCATTTCAACATCTAAAGTTTTAAATTAATGTACCACACGGACATTAAAATAAAATTTAGGAAACTACCCTTGGACGAAAAACGTGGGTTTACACTAGCGCCATCTATATACAACACAATATCATTTTAAGGACAAGGACACATTTGCAATAATACCTGTGTTACCATAACTCTAACCAAGAGATTCAAAGAAGGAAAGCGATCTATTCCCTCTTTAGATTTTGAATTTCCACTGGAAACCTTACTATTTTACGAACCCTTTTTTTTAGTACCGCAATTTGGTCTCCAAACGCGTCTTTGGTATTTGGTCGCAGTTTTTAGACGTAGGTACACATGGCTACACATCGAGCTTTACATAACCAGTATAAACTGAACGTTAAATGTGCGGAAAGATGATGCGACGCGACACCAGGATAAACTGGTTTTGTATAGATTGATGTGTGGCCGTGTGTACCAGGTAACCATAACTTAATATTAAGCACCTTTAAGATGGGATTTACGCCTTAATTCATAGCTACTTCACCACCATTTGTATCTTGTATCAGGTAAACCTTTAAGGGTTGGCATGATCCCTATGTTTGGCTGGAAAATAACAGTCTCCAAAAACGTTCGTCGGTAGCCAGTTATACTTTTAGGGCACAATTAGCTAGTAAATTGTGAAAAAGGGGACGTTTTCTGATCATCTGCTGGAACAGTGGCGGGAACAGTCGCCAGATGCTGCAGCGAGGAAATATATACGCTCGCAGTTTTATTTACTGCGCAGCTAGCAGCCGCCCAGTGTACTTACGCTCCATATACCCATACGCTTCCTAAGACGGGATTATCTCCTTAATTCATACGAAGAACGAAAAACTTTATATTTAGGCATGATCCCCACGCTTGGCAGTAGGCGTATTTTTTTTAAGGGATATCGAATGACTGCTCCCGCCTGGGTGAGGCGGGAGGGACATATAGATGACTATTGCCATATAAGGTCACCGAAAACATCTCCCTCAGAGCTGATAGCAAGATTTGGACGCAGTTTTTCTAATCATAGAGGATGTTTTCTCACCATAGCAGCAGGTACAGCGGCGGGAACAGTCTCCAGATGCTGCGGCGAGGCGGTGTAGGCCCGCAGTAGTATGTGCTGGGCCGCCAGCAGCCCGCCCAGCGCCGCCGCCAGCGCGCCGCAGCCCACGCACCACCACGCGTACTTACGACGACGGCACGTACCGTCATTGCCATTGCAACCAACTGATGCTGGAATGAAAAGGACTTGGTTAAAGTTGGGAAAACTTCGATTGAGTTGTCTCAATCGGAGTGACACTACGGCCCCACAAAATAAATATAATCACGCTTTTTGTCACCGAAGGGATGCAATGTAATGCACTTTTTACTATTTATGTTATAAGTCCCATGTAATAGGGGGTGAGCCTATTGCAATATACTGGGTCAATTCCAGACTCCGTTCTACTGAGATTAAAAAAAAACCAGCAATACTGTGCCCGACCCAGGAAACGAACCCGAGAACATTTGCCCACAGTCGAACCTGCGACCACACATTGCATTGTCTGTCTGTCCCTGAGACAAACTAGGCAAATTCTTAGGGCGCCAGGTTACAGAGGGACGCTGTGTTACAGAGGGACGCTGACATGCGCCCCTATGTCCAACTGCCTATAGAGCGACGGTGGCGCCAACAAAAATCAGGGGCGCCTACGAAGTGCTTGCCTAGCGCGCTCTATAGGTTTAATCTACCTCTGGATTTATCTATTTCAGATGATAACAGTGATGGTATTTAAGTTTATTAAATTCAAATACAGAAAATTCAAATATCAAAAAAAGACATAGATAGGTTACCTTACAAATAATAACTTTTGTTACGAAACTTCACAAAAGTTTTTAGTTCTTTTTTTATACATTTAATGGGCCGACATTTGACCTCTATCTCGCCTGGTGGTAAGCGATGATGCGGTCTACGATGGAGCACGTCGTCGTCCCATAAGCAACCTATTCACTCGAGCCTAAGACACCCAATTCTTTTTGTAAAACTGCATGAAATCTTCGACCACGATTCTTATACCTTCTTACTGTTACTTTTGTCATTCAAACACTGAGCGTGATGCGTATTGTAGTGAACTTGTTCTGTGTATTTTTTTTTTGTACCTACCATAGGATATTATTATTTCGTAACATTTTGTTTTCGTTGTCATGATTGAAATATTATTTTTCAAAAAACGCGGCCAGGAGCGTTTTAAATAAATAAAACCGAAATAAATAAATAGGTAAGCATACAAATATTCCGTGAATTAATCATTCGTAAATAAAATTCCTTTATTTTTGGTCGTTAAACATACCAATTTATGGTATTTTGGAAGCATTCTCGAAATAAATACATTTTATTTCTCTATTATATTTCTCGCGTTTGCGTATGGTTTATTTAAATAAAATATTTACCAAAATACGGCGGTGGCGGCACATAATGTTGAGGCACATCAGCGGCTATTGTAGATCGTGGCGTAGAAACCTGGTACTGTACCACTTGCATAACACCGCACGCTTGCATCACAAACAAACTAAACACTTAACCATTTTAATAACAAAACTTTTAATAATAACAACGAAATTACACTAAAATAATTCACGAAATCATAATGTCCGATTTCCCGCCATGTCAGTTTTTACTTTTTTTATTTATGGACAAGCAACCACGTTCGAATTCCACCGTGAACTTTCAAATCGCGCGCCTTTTCTATAAAATCGATATTTACACCCCAAGCTAACCGTGCGTAAAGAACAATGACCCCTTTACATTATAACAACAATGTTATTTACATTCACTAGATACTTTAACATTTACACTCGCACAAAATAATTAAAATTTGATCAATTCCTTTTATTTTAATTCCATAAATTCGTCATTTATTTTTTCCCTCCGTTCCTTTGTTTTTTAACACAATAATAACACAAACTTGATATAATTTTTGAAGAAACGACAGATTATTTAGTTTTTTATAATTTTTGACGTTTTATTCGATTTTATTATCACGATAAACAAATTGTCGTTGCATTATTGAGTTTACGTTGTAAGGTTATGTGGATTTGACAATGGCCGTTTCGCGCAGAAGCAGTAAGCTCTTTATGTCGCTCAGGTAGAAAGGTCTTAAATTAAATGTATGGGAATGTGACTTATGGATTTTGTTGTGCACATACTTATACTGTATTACTGTAGTTAAAGCTATATTTTTTTTTTTCAATATAGAACAGGTAGTTTTGTGCAAAAAGGTTTCATGTGTGTGTGGGTGAGGTTTGATTTTTTTAATCTATTGTATTGGATGAATGAATGACATTTCGGTTTTGGTGGGAAAGCTTCGAACCGAAAAAAAAATTCTTATTGTACGAATTCTGTAACTAACAACAATTGATTTTATTTTTATTTTAGAAATCTACAGCAAAAACTGTAAATTGATAGCCGGAAAACATTAACCTGTCGATTTTACAATAAAATCTAAGTACGTATATGTGCTATGGATTTGTAACGCCTTTCAAATAGTGTGAGAAAGGATAACTTTTTGCACATTTAGTTGCGCTCTTTGATGTATAGTGACATCCATAGACAAGTGCCTTTGATTTTATTTGAAGGCAGATACTCGTTGGTGCTCCCTCTTTTTTAAATGGTTTTCGAAATACAAAATCACAATAATGGCCCTTTTGCACTTTATGCATACATAAAGCTAGAGAATGCATGGAATTTTGAACCTGCCAACCTCTATTGAGCAAGTAGTGTGGTGAATAATGCTCAAACCTTGTCCGTGTGAGAAGAGGCTTTTGGTCAGTAGTGCCACTTATAGGCTGTGAAGTGTGTGATGCATGGATGCACGTCAACATCCCTGAAAATCCACATCCATTGTTGGACTATGCTCTTTTAAAAGGTTCAGGTTTATGAGCGAGCTCTGCTGCCCGGTCTCTGTCAAATGTGTAGTCCCGTAGTCGGGTATACGACACCCGCGGGAAGAGTAGTGGTGGTCACAAATCTTTTATCATCACACGGTGTCCTCATAGCCATTAACTTCTGATGTTAAAAATATTCAAAAAACTTACTATTGTTCCTCCGGTTAGTAGCTGCCAGTACGCTGGTGGGAGGACGGGGGGGCAGCGCGGGTGGGGTGTCAGTCTTCGCGGGCGCAGGGGGGCCGGGGTCATCCGCGCATGCGTACTGCGCTGACGACGGCTTGCACGTACATGCTACTTGGTACTGGAAAATAGAAAAAAGTTTTTAATTTTTTTAACATTTTCCGTTATTTTTACAGTTTTAAAAAAACACACGACACCCTATTTAGATAAGATAAAGGTATTCTTGTAAAACATGAGTACAGATTATAGGTCTTATAAAAATTAAGAAACTGCATTTTTGCCATTTGAGGTGTACCTGGTATAAGAGTTACGCAAAAAATACAAAAAAAAATAATAAAAGAAAAATCAAAAAAGTGATATTAAAGTGATTGAAGTTCTGAAAAGATTGACATGGGTGCTTACTCTTGATTGAAACCAATCTCAATGCCAATGCAATTTCATCAATCCAATAAAATCTCAATAATTACTCAATGTCAAAACTATACAACCCGTATCGTAGCTGGTGATTCAGAGTACGGTTTTTATCCCGGAAGGGGTAGGCGTGCACATTATGCCTTTGTACAATGTAACACCCACTTTTCACTATCTATGTTATGAGTCCCATGTAATAGGGGGTGAGCTTATTACCATATACCGGGCACAATTCCAGACTCTGCGATACTACTGAGAATTTTTAAAACCCAGTAATACTTTGCCCGACCCGCGAATCGATCCCGAGACCCCTTGCCTGGCATTCGCACTTGCGACCACTTGTCCAACGACGCACGAGATGTAGTCATTTTCGCAAAACTATCATCATATTTTATCATCACGTGCGCCATAAGACGTCCAATGTTAAACATCAAACAGGCCTCCCCCCAATGACTTCCAGTTAGGCCGGCTTGCAGTATGACAACAGTTCACATACCTTATGTAAATCAGAAGTGACGGAGGCGCTAGTGTCGCATTCAGGGCAGGCTTCTGGTGCCGGCGAGCTGCGAGCTGATGTCACGTCACCTAGCGACATCTTTCACAACTTGTTGATGCTGGAAAGAGATAGAAATATTATAAGGACATATCATATCTTCTATACATATAATAAAATCGTAGGAAAGAGAAAACTGTACAATGTACATCGAATATTTTTTTTTAAAAGAATGCTTTGGGCGCAATCTACAGTCGATACCGAAACCAAAAATATGGTTTTTAGAATTTTTGTCTGTTTGTCTGTATGTATGTCCGGGATGAACTCAAAAAGTACTGTATGGATTTTCTTCAAATTTTGCATGAATATTACTAACAGGTCGGGTCAACATATAGGCTACATATTATCATGCTATCAACTACGGGGGAGGAGCTGTGAATCACTATTCCACGCGGACTTAGTCGCAGGCTCAGCTAGTTAGGGTTAAACTGTCAAACACCAAGCGGTCACCCGTGACCGCAACCTATTGTTCTATAATTGTGTCTGTATTGACGGTAAATAGATAATAGCTTTTTATATAACATAGTAAAATAACCAAAAGTAAATCAATTCTCATAACCACAAAATACTGACAAAGCACTTATAATTTCACTGGTGCGGGTGTTCATGGGCGACCTTAATTGCTTCATCAGATCATCAACAGCCTATAAGTGCCCACTGCTGAGCAAAGCCTCTTCTCACACGGAGAATGTTTGAGCATTAATCACCACGCTTGCTCAATACCGGTTGGCGATTACAAACTTATAATTAGAAATTATAAGCCCAGGTTTCCTCACGATGTTTTCCTTCACCGTTTGTCAGTGGTGTCTAGATCTTAGAGAGTACATATAACTCGGAAAAAGTCACGTTGATACTTGCCGTTGGTAGGTTTCGAACCCGCATCCTCATACATGAGAAGATGGCGTCTAAACCTCCGGGCCACCACCACCACGACACTTGATTGCTTATCATCAGGTGAACCGTCGTGTCTTTTAAAGCAAAATGACATTGACACTAAATTGAACAATATTTCGATGAACGCCGCTCTTGTACATATGAGTCCACGATTGGCTTGAAGCAGATTGACTTTAAAAAAAAATTGCCTTACACTAGGATTTTCCTGTGTCGTAGGTGCGTTCACAAACATACAAGTTCGCATACACATGACACACAGACCCGGAACAACAATCTGTGGATCACACACAGAGTTGTTCCGAGGGGAAATCAAACCATGCAGCAACTACATTCAATCATTCACGTGCATAATAACGAAATACCTTTGCCACTCAATGATGCGCAAAAAACAAAAACCCGTGCTATGGCAGCAAAACAACTGTTAATCCATCTACATCCGGTCTCTATGGTCACATCCGGCGCGTCCAGCTGTTTTACCCGACTAACAAACAAAAGAGGTATGTGTTTACAGCTGTATTTTGTTGAATAGGGTTCAAAATATAAAAGAAATTAGCCATTGAAGTTAATAGTCAGCCCTGTTGAGCGGCCAGACGCAATAACAATATACCTAATCATAGATACTAATACTTTTTTTAAGGGGGGAAAATCATCGAATGGCTGCTCCTGCCTGGGTGAGGCGGGAGGGAGGGTCAGACTCTTACTGACTAAAAACCACCCCGTTCCTTCTCCTGCACGTCGGAGCGGATATGACTGGGGCCGCCGGTAGAGGGCGCCCTGCCTGACGGACATACTACACTAACCAGATCGGCGATATATTAAAGAAGGGCCAAATTAAAAGTACCGTTAACCGACGAGCATGCATGAAAAGATTGATGACTGTTGATTGTGTCATGGATGCGCTTATAGTGTGGATCACAAAAAGATTTGCTCCGTGAGGGAATCGAACCCGCGACACGTTGCGCGGCAGCCGGTTGCCCAGCCACCGCGCCAACCGTGCCGTAATAACAATAAACCATAAAAAATTCATGTGGCCCACCATCGACTAACCAAAGTTATGACGTCATTTAGATTGTCTTAACGGATGCCATTTAGACTTTTACAGCGGGGACCTAATGAGGTCAAACTCGGCCGATCTAATAAAACTACATTGTCCTGCCACTAACTATATAATGTCATCATGACATGCCTTTGATACATAACTGGCAACTCGCGGCCGGTTTCACACGCTACTCCTATTGCACGTATCGTGAACTTTTATGATTTTCCTTGATAAATAGCCTATACAACACAACAAGTATTTCATTCGAATCAGCTAGGGTATTCTGTAAGATGGAACAAGCCCGCCACAACCTCCCAAAACCGCTGCAACCCTTGTAAGCCAGGATCTACAGTAGATACAACCATGAAAACACCAGAACACTGAAGTCCAACGTCCCAGGGACATGAATAACTGTCTTGGTTCCCGCAACGAAGTCAATCAGACGATATTTTAAGAGGAGAAGAAAAAAAACGATAGTTTCCACTTCCCTCGGTGAATTACTGCAGGATATATATTTTGTAAGATATCAATTCGTACTCTCGAAGTTCGCCAACCGACTAGAACCAGACTCGAGCGTACGGCGCGTCACGTACCGCGCGCACCTCAAAGAGCCATCAGACCACCACGGATGGGGCCGAATAGGGCTGATGCCAATACAGAGCCGCGGAAGGTGTAACGGGTTGCCGGAGCTCTGGATCGAAGTGCACGAGTAGGATCGGAGTGGTTTTTAGTCAGTAAGAGTCTGAATCAATTCGTACTCTCAAAGTGAGCTAGGTCGCATGCTCAGCAATGGGCGTTTATAGGGCTGTTGATGATAAACGACTTCCAGATTAAGCCGATGGAAAAAATATTTTATCTTTAACTTTAAAAGACATAAACGCACTCTTGAGAAATTTCAAATAAAAACGTTGAATTGAAACAATCATTTGATTGGTAAATTAAGCCCAATCCTCAATTAAACGATGCCCAATAATTTCGAGTGCGATAAATGCTACGGGCTCGCCTATTAACAAATTAGGTTTTGGAATTCTTCATTGCCAAAGAAAAATGTAGACGGTTAAA